CAGGAAACTTTACTGCGCTCTGTGGTTAAAGGAATAAAAAAGGATCAGTTGGTGTGTGACAGAAAGGACAGACAGATCCACTGTGGCTTGGATCTGGTGAAGTGTCTGTGAGAGAGCAGGGCGGTGCGCAAAAAAAGAAAAAGACAGCGCGCTGGGCTCATTTTGTAGACAGAAGCTCCGGTTTAAAAAAAGGAAAAAAAATTTGTTTTATCCGACTCGCAGCAGTCTCTTTCTTCTCGTGCGGCAAGAAGTGTGGGAGCATCCACCACGTATAAATCGTATATACATAATGCAACTAGGTCAACCAACAGCAAATGAGACCAAAAAAAGATTCTGAACCAAAATTAGGATTTTAACAAAGAGCGACAACCAGGGAACACTCTTTCCTGAATAGCTCACACCACCTTTAAGAGTCCTTGGAAAACTTCTGAGTGTCTTTAATTTCAAGTTACTTTCCAAGTGAAAACGAACGCTACTATAGTTGTTAATGGCATTTATTCACATTTAATCTCAGGATTTTAAAGAATAGTAACAACGTCAAGAACACCGGGGAACATCTCCCCCCCGATGACAACCTCGGCAGCATCACAGGCTCTGCCTCTGCCACTGTCGTTCCTGCCGGTCGTGCTGCCGACGTAGCAGCTGGTGAGGTGCATGTTTGTGTTGTGTGTGGTATGTGTGTGTGTTGTGTGTGCTATGTGTGTGTGTGAGTGTGTGGTTGCAGGGATGTGAGAGGAGGGAGGGCAGGGGGGGTCATCAGTGGACAACAACAGCTCTTTTCATAGCTGTCAGTGTATCCGGGTCAGCTGTGCAGGAGATGCTCAGAGTCCTGCAGCTGTTGGAGGGAAGAACAGCAGAGAAAATGAGGACGGAGAAGGAATAGTAGTGTGTGTGTGTGTGTGTGTGTGTGTGTGTGTGCGCGTGCGTGCGTGTGTGTGTGTGTGTGTGTGTTAAATGAGGAGATCTCCCCTATACAACTCGACCGGCCAATCAGCCGGCTCACACTGACATTAAAACCTAAACAAGAAAAACAAAGATGGGTTTATGCCAGGAGAGGATCTCGTTGACTCAGGATGAAACTCGTCACTGCGTTTTATTTGGGTTTAAATGTATGGAAGACAGAAGAAAAACTGATGATAAGTTAGGGTGAATAATGTTTATATGGAGGCTCATTTCCGCCGAGAAGAAAAAAAAATACATTAAGAATGATGAAAATAAAAATACTAAGATATCAAATTAACACTAATCGTCTGAATTATACATTTTGACTCTATAAGTCGAACATATGTGGCATTAAGTTGTAATTTCTAGACAGTGAATCAATATGTCAAAGGTCAGAGGGGCCCTGGTGATCTATAGCAACCTTTTTCTGAAGCAACTTCTGATATAATCCTCTGTATTATGGAATATGTTTATATTTTTAACTAATCTTTGACAAATTCAGTGTTTTCTTCTCCCTGACACTTGACCATTGTTCCATCAGCTTTTTGGTTGTTTTAACTTTTCTAATACAGGATACAGTTGTTTATCAGAGAGTGAAGACTCTGAATAAAGTTTATCTTCAGGTCTTCAGAGTTTATATCTTAAATAATAATCTACATTTTAAAAGTAACAATGTCATTTAGTTCTTGCCACAGAAACGAACAAAATGTTGAGACATTGTCTTTGACCTCTTAAAATTGAGACAACCTCGCGACCCCCAGTGGGGGTCCTGACCCCCAGGTTGGGAACCAGTGAGCTAAGTGGGGTTAAATGAGAGCAAACATGTGATCACAACCAACACATATAACACCTGATGTGTAAATAATTTGCATCTCACAAGATTTAGAAGAACTTTCTGTCAGAGGAGCTCAGCTGCAACAGAATCCTCCTTTTCTTAATGTTACATGTATAGGTTTATTATGTTTATTTCATTGTTGACACATGTGATTTATTGTTTATTCTAATATTTTTGCATGTTGCACTAGTTTTTGCTTTTTTCTTCATTATTACATTTTGATTTGATTTGATTTTTGTTATATTAAATGCTCTGTTTTGTCACCAGGCAGCTTAATCCTGTTCACTCTTGTGTCTTTGTGCAAATGAAGCAACTGAAACAGAACTGAAGCCTGCAGTCTGTGAATTTGCTATTTTTGGTGTGTCTGAGGAATCGATTAGTATCACGATATTGTGGCTTTGGCATCACTTACAGCTTGGAGGCGTTTTTCTTCTCCACTAGAGAGATCTGAACAACCAGCCGCCTCCTCTTCACGACAATATCCGATGTCTTAATTTAAGAAAATATAAACACTCCTTATCCTAAACGAACTAAAGAAGATGTCTCTCGACTATTATTATTGTTAATATTTGTCTACATCAACAGTGTAAAAACTATATTTTCAAGCTGTTATTTTTATTATTTTACTATATTTGTTAGATCTTTCTTTTCTTTGGTTACCTTTCTTAAAGGAAGAGTTTGATATTTTGGGCAAAGCTGTTTTATTTATAAAGTTTCCTACACAGGTAGATTCAAGGTGCAGTGCAGTTAAAACAAGACAGCTCAAAGATAATTGTGGGAAACAAACGTATTTGTGTTCCTGTGTTAGATCAGATTTGCTTAAACTTGAGGAATTTCTGAAGAAAAGGGCGACGTCTGGTTCTTCAGAGAGATCAAGAACCTGTCTGATAATGAGATGATGAGCTGGTCTTCCCCTCTTCCGTCTGTCTCTGGAAGTCCTTCACAAGCATATTATAGTGTTAGAAAGTGTCCTCGTGCACGGAGAAACAGTTCAGTGGGGCTGTTTACACCTTTACATGGATGATACAATTACATTTAAATTTACTGGAGTCGTTTATTTTGGGACCACAGTCCTCTGATTAACTTTGTTCTTGGAAGACCAGAAGCAACCAGATCCAGGGTCAGTTGACCAGCAGTCAGCATTGATTGGACTGCTTGCAGCTTCACATTAAACTGGAATTTAATTAATTTAATTATTCTAATGTGGTGGAGCACTGACTATTATTAGGGGGGGTTTGAAATTCCTTTCTGTATCTTTCTGTTTATGCCTGCTTCTCCCAATCTCCTGCACACTACCACCCCTCTTATCTCATCTGCCCATAATCGTTTGTTTAGTTTGTTCATTCTCTTTATCTTCTCTACAGTTCCTCCTTGTTTCCCAGAAAGGTCTTTAGGCGTCCGCTGATGTCAAAGAGGCTTTCGGCATGGAAAATTCCACAATTAAATCTTTTTATTAATCAAACAATGATTAAGTATCACTTTCACTGACTCTTAGTCTGTAGTCTGTAGTGTGTAGTGTCTGTATTTAGTATTTTATTTACAGCTTTTACTTCAGTGAAGGTTCTGAAATCTACCACTGCTCATAACTGATCTACGATGCACTTGTAAATTATTAATTAAACATTAATAAAGACATTACAACTTATAAACCAGCATCGGTTTCACAACACACTGACTCAATGACCAAAATAGCACAAGGTAATGATGTTTATTAAGTTCTCAGAAGGAGACAGACAGATCCAGTGGATGGAAGAGGAGATTGCTTCATTGACACTTATCGTCTGTCCTTCCCAACAATGCGTCTGATCCTCTTACACTCCACAGCTCAGGCATCTCCCTGACCCATAATACAGGAAGGACTCATGAAGACAGTTGCATAATAGAAGCTGACCTGTCAACACGTGAGGGAGGCTTACACACCACAGTAAACCCTCACAGGAGTGAGTTACTCATTTCATCCTGATCTGATACTTACTTTTTAATTTCATAGGATTCCTGAAGCTTTATGTGCTTAATGTTCCTATAAATCAACGTGAATATGAAATTAATGGGGATTATTTGACCTCCATGCTGGACGTGTGTATTTCCAGGCTTCTGAGGGACTTTTGTACAACTTCTTTTAAGTCATTACACATTTATTGGCCCGCATGCTTTCTGCTCCATCTGCAGTTTGTGTTGCTGAGAGCGTTTTTTTAGACAACCAGGTGAAGTGTTTGTGCAGAGCTGGCAAAAAGATAGGTGCACAATGAGTACTATGAGTACTACTGCTGCAGCTACACTACTAATATTACTACCACTACTGCTAATACTATTACAAATACTACTAATACTACTAATACTACTGCTGCAGCTGTACTGCTACTACTACTATTTATACTACTTATACTGCTACTACTAATACTACTATGAGTACTACTGCTGCAGCTATAGTACTACTACTACTACTTCTACTAATACTAATACTAAAACTACTACTACTGCTGCTTCAGCTATACTACTTCTACTACTACTACTACTACTAATAATAATAAAATGTATTACTTATAAAACGGTAAAGTAGCACTGTCCTCTGCAGTATTCATTTACAATGTATCTTTTTATTACAATTTTCTTTTGTTTTCTTAAACTTGGAAACAACTGTTGAGAAAAACAATGACCACAGGGTCCATTTAGGTGTTCTGGAGCTTTCGCTCATATCACATGATGTTCATCAGCAGATGAGAGTCTCACAAGAAGTCCTTAAAGAACTGACAACTGGGCTGATGAAGATCATGTGATATGATCAAGAGCTCTGGAAGAGCTAGTAAATTATCAACTTTACTGTAATTGTTTTTTAGTTTCATATTAATTAGAGATATTAATCAGTGATTTCTTGTGTTTTATTATTTATTTAATAAATAACATTTTGTTTAATAAGTTTGTTTTTTTATAGGATTTTACACTTTTTTTATTTAATTTGCCTTTGTTCTAAATGTTATTTTATTTTCCTTAAAATGTAATATTATTTTACCTTTTTTCTTTTTTTGTCCCATCTTTTTGTAATAAATGTGCAATGCAAATAATTGTTGAAGATGATGAATGTAGATAATGTGTAATCTGTTGACTTTACTGCACTCATTGTTTATGTGTGTGTGTGTGTGTGTGTCAGACAGCAGCTGAGCCCCGTTAGGAGGAGTCTGTGTCTCTTGGAGGCGGTGTAACGAGCCGCTCTGTGCGCTCACTGGCTGCTCCGCTGCCTCACTGTGAGAGAAGCCCGTTCAGAGGTCGGACTGTCGGGACCGACCACCGGCCAGTAGACGACGATAGCTCAAGAGTGCGGACTCACAGCTGCACCGACAACCAGGAACCGTGAACCGGGGAGAAGTCAGGGGACACTTTACGCTCGGATCTGAGAGATGGAATGCATTGAAAGGACTCAGACACTGTGAAAGTTTGACATGGAGACACAAGTAACGAGACAGTTGATCGCAATAAAGTCGACCATCCTTCTCGACCGGGTCTGAGGTGCAGCGGAGGATGACACCTGCACCCCGCCTGGCGAGGACCGACGCGCTGTTCCACACTTTGGCATCTTTTTGAAGAGTAGGTCAGAAAGCTTCTGCGAGTTTGACTTTATTCTGCCTCTGATTGTGCAGACAGATCAGCATCCAGCCCGCTGCCATCCTGACTTATCGGCTGTGGCTGCAGAAACAGCGCATTTGTTGCGCCTTCCTTTATATGTTTGCATCGCGGACTGCGGCAACAACAACAACAACAACCACAACAACAACAACTGTACACACAGGTGAGCTTCAGAGAAACCCAGGGATGGAGATGAAATGTTAAGATGAATGTGTGTTTGTGATTGTTCAGAACAGTTTGAAATGGAAACTATGTTATCTGTCGTTACAGAGGGGATAATGTGTGTTATGTGCGCCTTGTTCACCTATATTTAGTGCTTAAGAGAAAGATAAAGAGTCCTTTTAATAGTTTTAAATCCTGGAATCTTCACACGTTTCAGAGAACAGGGCTAATAGATTAAATCAGGCTAATAATTAACCCCTTAAAATCCATTTTTACCCGAATATTTCTCCTTAAAGGTCGGCACAAATTGTACTTACTCCTCTCTGTCTGACAGCATCGCCCGTAGATCTGCAGGGTCCACCTCTTCCGTGATGTTTACACAGTGAAATATTTAAACTGCGTGTTTTCATGGATTTTTTTTTGCATCAGTATTCAGCTGTTTTGTATTTTTGGAAACTTTTATCTCCTCTAGAATTTTAAGTCCATTTTTGTATGAATGCAGTTTAATGTAAACAAGGTGCATTTTACCTTAGGTGGCTGATATGTATTTAAAATTGTTCTTATTGTGTGTATTACTGTGCATTTGTTTACATTTTCTTCCTGTGTGTTTTAATGTTGCAGGTCTCTGCAGCCACAGTCATTTAAACCGTGTCCTCACCTCGATACGTCTGCACCTTCTCGTCTCTTCTTGCTGTTTCACATCTGCTGGATATTAAGAATTAAAAGAGAGCTTTTCCTCAAACGCGTCCCCTTTCTACAACAACAGTACGGCAGTATAATCTCTGGAGCACTGACTCACCATGGGCACTGTACTGTCGCTGTCTCCCGGTTCTCGGAAATCAGGCTACTATGACAACCGGCCGGGCTCGCTCAGCCACTACCCGAGCCTCAGCAGCCGCTCTCTTAACAGCCAGAAAGACCGCGGGCTGAAGCGGGGCCAATCCATCTTTCTCCCGGCGCTCACGTGGAAGCGACTTGTGGCCTCAACGAAGAAGAAGGGCACCTCTAAGAAAGGCCCTTGCGGCCCTTTGGCCCCAGGGGACCCTCTTAACAACAACAACAACATCAACATCTACCAGAAGGACCCCGTGTTGCACCTCAACCGTGAGAACGTGAAGAAGTCGCTGTCATGTGCCAACCTATCCAGCTACGAGGGCCCAGCAGGACTGGGTCTGGGGCTCGGGTACGGCCTCGGGTTGGGACAGGGGTACGGGTGTAGCTACAGCAAGTCCCAACAGCTTTCCTCTGTGAAAAAAGTCCCCCAGGGGACAGTGACTTCGTCCCCAAAGCGTGTCATCGTGCAGGCCTCCACCAGCGAGCTCCTGCGCTGCCTGGGGGAGTTCCTGTGCTGTCGCTGCTACCGCCTGAAGCATCTGTCTCCGGCCGACCCGGTGCTCTGGCTGCGGGCTGTGGACCGCTCGCTGCTGCTGCAGGGCTGGCAGGACCAGGCCTTCGTCACGCCGGCCAACGTGGTCTTTGTCTACATGCTGTGCCGAGACGTTGTGGACGGTGACCTGGTGGCGTCGGAGCACGAGCTGCAGGCCATCCTGCTCACCTGCCTCTACCTTTCCTACTCCTACATGGGCAACGAGATCTCGTACCCGCTCAAGCCCTTTCTGGTTGAGGCGGGTAAGGAGGCCTTCTGGGACCGCTGCCTCGCCATCATCGATGCCACCAGCTCCAAGATGTTGCGCATCAATGCAGACCCGCACTTTTTCACACAAGTATTCGCTGAACTCAAGAGTGAAGGCGGCTGTGGGACCCAGGACTATAGTCGGGTGCTGGATCGGTGAGAGCGCCCATCCTTGCTGGCTGCATGCCTTTTTTGTACACGTACGCTTGCACACAGACACACACACATTTGTCTCATACAGATTCCTCGCCCCTTTTTCCTCTTCTGCTGCCATGCAGGAGCCATGAAGGCCTATGTTGACAGAGCTTTGTAGACATATTTAATCATTCCATCTGTGTTTGTTGCCGTTGTCCCGTTCCATCCACAGATAGAAATAGGGAAGATTACTCTCTGATAATTGGTTAACAGAGGCTAATATATCATGTTTCTTCTCCTGGAATATCCACCTGAGTTTACTTGAATTGAGGAACCATTTGGTCCACCTGTCCTATCCGACCCCATGTGTTGCCCCAGCTGCCCCTTCTGGATCCGCACAGCCAGGCGCCCCAGCATCCCCACCCTCCTCTCTGAATGTGATCAATCAGTCTGCATGGGCCGAGAAGATGCCATCATCACTCACAAAACACCATCAAGGAATTTTCACTGGTCATATTCTAAATGTCTGAGTGGATTCACAGACAATAAAATCCATCTAGGCCAAGTTATATATTTCCTGGACAATACAAGGAGACATCCTGACATCCGCTGCAGGCTAAGCCCCGTGTGCCAGCAGTGAAAAGTGACTCAGACTGATGGGAACAGCTGAGAGGTCCATGTAAGGTCCCGCTGGTCCTGCTGTGCGCTGTGTAATCACTAAAGCATAACGAACAGGCAGTGTTTTGTGGAGCCTTTTGAGGGTCGTCTGGCCTGAGGGGACAGTTGCTATTTCTTTTTTTTTTTATCTCAAACCTGCCAATGAACTCCTCTGTGTTTCTATTTTATCTTATCTCAGGAGAGTTTTCTGGTGGAAGCAGCACAGAACATGCATTTAGATTTTAAGATTGTGTGAGTGCATGCATGGCTATGTGTGTGTAGGCATTGTGCGGTGGACGGCAGCCAGAGTCATCAGCTGTTTACTCCATCCTTTGTTCCCTGCGTCTTGTTGACAGGGCACCCACAGCCGTGGTATTAATGAGATTAGCAGATTACTGCAGCCCCTCCTCTCTCTCAACCTCTGCCCCCTTCTTGTCCACTCGGCTGCCCTGCAGAGCTTCGGTGGCTAATCCAGGCCAGGCTGGACCGGTGCTGGACTTTAAACACACACATATGTACACAAACACACACACACACTATTTAAATAACTTGTTGTGTGTGCTTCATTCTCCTCGGTGCATGAATAAAATGCACGTGTGCAGCTCAGGGTCCAGCATAGAGGCAGTAAAGCTGCCTGAAAGATATACATGCAGCAGTGGGAGATGAACCCTGTTGTTGCTGAAGGGGTTTGTTGTTGTTGCTTCTGAATTTGTCCCAGTTTCTCATCAGTCACCTGCGCATCCTCATCTGCCATCGAGAGACGTCTCTCTCATCCCTCCCTCAGCTCCTGTCTCTTGCTAAATTATTCCCTTGATTGAACCAAAATAGCTTTAATTTCTATTTCCCATGTGTTCTAATGTGTTTGTGCATGTCAGAGGTGGACACAGATCAGGCCAAGGTTAGTTGTTAGACCAAAAATATATGCATTTCTTTCTTAAAAGCAGATTAAATATAGTTTCAGATGGATATTATGTCCTTATCCATCTGCATGTTGTTTAGATTCCTGCTGCAAGAATTTACTGATTACAGACTGAAGTTTACAGTCTTTCACTGCTGATAGCCTAGAAAAAGCTTCCAGTAGTAGAAAATAGGTAGAAAAATGAGAGTTAACTGACGGAGTGGCTCAAAGTGGCTTTAAATTTCATCAAAACTGATAGACTTAATATATAAAAATAGCGAGGCCTGTCTATGTTATAGGACAGTTGTCAACCTTTTTGGTTCATGACCCCTTAAAATTAAACAAGGTCTTCCTGTGGTCTACAAGGTAAACACACCCCCTACTGTTGGTTGGATGTTTGCTAGTTACAAGTTTAACCTTGTGAACAATTTTTAGGATCCCAAAAGAGTTAAGAATATCCTGTAATTTGCAAGAAAAGATTAGACTGCTTTCCTACTTTGTTAATCAAATCGCAACCACTGGTGTCCAGTAGGATGCTGCTGCTGCTTCAAACCTAAATACATGGATGCTTCACTTCCACCAAGATGTCTTGCCCACAGTAGCATGTGGCAAAGCCTTAATCTTATTGTGTTCGGTCATCTGGAGGTTTAGGTGCTCCATGTCGTCCCTCCCCCCCATGTGGCAGTCGCTCTTGCACACTTTGCTTTGACGCTGCAGTATATACCCCACCCACAAGGTTGTATGATAAGCGAGCATCCCTATAAGATTCGACCTTCACACACATGTGCAAACAAACTGGTTCACATCCTCTCCTTGGGTAATCCAGCTCTAATCCTCCCACCCAATCAAACAGAGAGAGGGAGCGAGGGATGAAATCATGAGGAAATAAGTAAACGGTTCAGAATCCGATGAGATTTGGTGTCACACTTCCCGTAGAGTCCTGGCTCTCGGCTCAGCCTTCAAATCTTGCTCCAACAAACTGGGGGCCTCCGAGACCCCGAAGCTCAGCCCCTGCTGCCTACTCCAGCTCAAAATGGGCTTATTGGCGTCAAGCCTGCCTCGCTGCCTGTCTGAGGGATCTCGCATGAGCTCACACCAGTCAACCAGAGAGGAGTGACGGCAGCGATTCACGCCCAGTGAGAGCAGAGCGCCGAGACAGCGCCATCTCTCTTTCTGGGAGCTTTGACTGGCAGCCATTTTGGGCTCGTTGTTGCGGTCAGTGCAGCTCTCTCTCTCTAGCTCTCTCTCTCTCTCACTCTTTCTATGGCCTGGTCCCAGCTTTGACAAGGACACTTGTGTCTTGACTCAACCTCCACCCACTCCCTCCCTCCCTCTCCCCCCC